TGTATTTATTAAATTTAAATTTAAGATTTTATTTAAATAATATTTTTATCCAAATATATAACTTTATTTTATTTAGACTTTATTTAAATCAAAAAATTAAATGATCAAATAACCCAAGAATCCACTCAAATGTCAAATCCCTTGTGATATAAATATGACATAGCAATATTTTGCCATCCAAGCAGCCAGTTGGGTGTGTCCCAAACGGCAGTTAAGTTGGCCTAAGAAGAAGGGCTTAATTGCTTTGATCCCAGAGTTCAAGAGCTTATATGCATCAATTAAAGTCTAGGGGCTTAATAGCTATTCTGGGGTTTGTTCAGGGGCTTAACTTATGATTTTACCTTCTAAGAAACCCTCCAATACCTCAGGAAGAAAAAAAAAAAAAAAAACTCCATATTTCTTACAATTCGCTTTAAAGGCACAAAAATTCCATTCCGATCACCAGAGTGGGAGAGATATTACCTGGAAGACGAGATCAGTCGGCCAACGGAGAGTTTTGACGGTCCAATAAGCCATTTTGTCTGACAGAGTAGAAGGCACATGGTGCTTCTTCAGATCTATGGATGTGTTAGACTGATAAGTCTCCCATGGCTGAAACGCGAAATTATTAACAAATTATATCTTGTAAACCCGATCCGGTGATTAACATCATGAAAACCATTCTCTATACCATATGTTGCAACAAGATGAGGCAATAAACGAGAATTGTGCGTACATACCCTAAAGCAGCTCCACCTCCACTCCGTACCATCGTCTTTCTTGAGCTTACCGGGCTCGATCCCCCAGTAGGTCACGATCGACTTCTCATCCTTGCCACCGTTACCACCGGAGGCCAAGCCCTTCACCGCCGGTTTTTCCTCCTTCTGTTCCTTCTCATCCACGGCCAAAGTGCTTTTGTTCCGCAAACCGACGACCGGAGCCCTGATCCAGGTGGTCATGACGGCCTCGTTCGACGTGGTACGGACGCTTGCAGCAGAGAAGTAGCGCGTGCCGACCGCCGCCATCAAGGAAGTCGCCAGCGTGTTCCCGCCGTGGCTCATCATGACGATTGTAGTTCCAAGAAAAGAAAGATTAATTGAACAAATCGGAAGAAATTGAGAGGTTTTTTTTGGACTTTTCAGTTTCTTGTTTACTTCTGTGGAGATTTAAGGAGGGTTTTATAACGGTTGCCTTTTGGAAATTTGGACGAATGGTTTAGTACGGCGTTGTCTTTGCTGACATGTACATTTTTTTTCACTGAAAAATAATTTAAAATAATTTTAATATATATTTT